ACTGTCGTGGGTTTAAACCTGATTTTTCCCGATCCAAGTCACAGCACCAAAAATGTCGTGGTTTGAACTGTGCTGAAAGCCAAAAGCACCCACGACGTTCTCTCCCTTCCCCCACTGGAGAGGGCAGAAGGGAGAGCAAAAGCCCAATTAACACTAAAATTTATGGCTTTCAGATAACATAACATAATTGAAAGAAAGATACGCATATGCTCCAGAGAATGGTCAGACAGGCCGAATAACTTAAGTTGCAAAATAGATTTATTACTAAAAACTACTAAGAATACTACCGCACCGGGGAGGGGAACTAAGATAAGGAAAAATTTACAAGGAGAAGAAAAATAAAAACGGACATTTTAAGACACCTATTATCCTTTCCGGGGACCCATCTCTTTCTGAGGTCATCCCTCTCCACCCCCCCCATGACTTCCTGCACACACAGGGGACAGGAATGAAAATCTAACATAGATCAAACTACTCATTACGGTTGTCGTCCAGCATCATAGGAGAAGCATTCTTACAGCTCCAGGCTGTGGAAGTTCTTTTCCCAAGAAACAGTCAGTGTATAACTGCTGATGGCAAGGGATTCTTTTCTTGTAGAAGAAAGGAAAGAATGTTCTCTAAGGCCAAACTGCGTTGTTTTGGCGGCGTAAGGCCACTATCACAAATCTCCCGGCAGAACACAGCTCCTTCTAAGCATCCACTTACTTCAAACATAGGGCGGGGGGCACCTCTTCCTCCCTGCAGAACACAGTTTCTTCTTAGCATCAACTCACTTCAAACGTCGTGGGGAGGCCAAGCCTCTTCCTCTTTTTTTGGCTCCTGATCAGTTCAGTCCAGTCCTCAAAGGCCAGGTTTTTTTTCCTCAGAGCAAGGTCGCTCTCTTTCCTATACAGGTCTCTCATTGATGAAATAGTCCTTTAGAGAACAACTTGTTTTCTACATGCTCGAGAACCACAGCAACAGCACAGCAACGCATGCCATCTTCTCCTTACTGTGATCTTGGGTCTCCATTTTTGTCTTCTTACATCTCCTCATCCTCCTGCTCTGTTTTTCCCCAGTGCATGATACTAAAACTAAATACTAACAACCTAAAAACTACATGGCGGCCGCCCTTATCTTGTTTTGAATTCTTCTTAAGTACAAGACAATACGTCATCACAGAGGTGTAACTAGCATGTGCAATCTCAGAGCCATAATGGATTGGCTCTAAAACACAGGGGGTAGGGCTCCTTTAGCTGGAGAAGAAGGAGGAAGTTTCTAGAACTTCCTCACAGGAGCCATCTTTGTGGTTTCTTGGTCCCATCCCCCCACCACCAAAAATTGGACCAAGTAAAACCATGACACCTACAAACAAACATATCTCTCTTGCTCTTACTTGGCACTGTCAACCCAGCGCTTCCTTGACTTTTCAATGGGTGCTCCAAAAGTATCATATTAAAGAAAGAAACTGAAAAGTAAAATCAATGTTAGAATTGTCTTCCCCRCCCCCCATTCTCCATACATACTGCTCATATTCTTAGCACTTTATTTGGTTCTTTTTGCTAAATTTTCTTCCAGAGCTAGCATGAAAGCTGAGAACCTCATGCTATACAAATAGAAGATATGAGTCCTTAGAAGAATACTCAGGTTCACAAACCCAAAAACAGGCAAGAGACCATGCCACTTCMACCCCATCTCCCAAAAACCGCAAAAAACTCCCCTAAACCAACACTGATAAAAACAAAACCACGCTGACAGAACTTCATAACCTGTAGGAATTATGGCAATTTGGCTATAAGRAGAAAGCCAGTCCATGAAAAGAGAAACAGAAGAAGGAGCAGACAAATGCACAGACTGAATGTTTTYACTAAAACCAGGAAGGGCAGTTTTCATACCATGATTAAATACAAGACAAAAAAGGAAAGACTTTTTTTTTGTGAACCAAAGGGCCAAGACAGATTTAACCATGTTTAATATTGTTTTCAAAGAAACCAAAACACTGCCTGGAAATATTTCAGCTGGAATAGAGCTAATTTTCTTCCCAGTAGCTGTGTTTTGGATTTAGGATGAGAATAATGTTGATAACAAATGGATGTTTTAGTTGTTGCTAAGCAGTGTTTACACTRCATCAAGGACTSTTTGGCTTCTCACCACCCTGCCAGCAAGTACGACTGGGGGACCCAAGGAGCTGGGAAGAGACATAGCAGGACAGCTGATGGCTGGGTGCTGCTGCTCAGGAACTGGACTATGATGAAAAACTCCACTGTGGATCATTTGTTTTATGCACTGATTATTTTATCACCATTATCACCATCTGTCCCTTCCTTTTCTGTCCTAATAAATTCTACCTCCATGCACACACTGTACCCCTTCCAATTGTCCCCACCATCCCATGGAGTACTGGGAATAAGCAAGTGTCTGTGTGGTGTTATACTGCCTGGATGGTTAAACCATGACACCTAAGCAAAAAATTACAACATTTAATGGCTTCATTAAAGAAATGTTCAAGCTGTAAAATACTGAGAGTTTGAATACAAGCTTGTGACACTCTTAAGAGTGTTGCTGTTGTCTGCCAGAGTTGCAGGGCTCAGCTGGATGTCACAATGAAGCCATTCTGTCTGGCTGCTGCAGCCAAGCACAGTCAGTTCCAATTCCTGTGGCTCAAAGCTGTCTTCACCTTCTCCCTCTTCCTCCTCCCCAGTGATCTCTCTTCACTGGATTAGTTAAGGCAGAAAACAGACAGAAAGGGTATATAAAACATCCCAAAACAGAGCAGACAAGCATCATAACAGATGCAAGAGATTGTGTGCGCAATATTTCCTATTCAGTAGCAGCAGACATGAGATAGCTGAGTAAGGTGTCGGCAGATACCTAAAGTTTGCATAAAAACTGCACCCAGTATACAATTAAACATCATTAAATATAAAACACCCATTGGCTCACAAAGTCCCTGAGCTACAAAACACTGGAGGCTGCAACACCTTAGAAAGCTCTCTGCACACTCGCCTCTTTCTGTAACTCTTTTCCTAAATATCAGCCCKCAACATAATGGTTCTCACATTTCTAGCTGTGCTGCCACATATGCCCCGTAACTTTGCAGGGTGGAAACTCATGTAAGGCAGCACAAGTCAAACCAGCCCACACATACCATGACTGCACAATCACCTACCCCTGCACTGCCCCAAGACAAGTACCAGTAAACCAGTAGACAATTCAATCAGGAAAATGATTGTGTGGCATTTTCCATTCTTTTTTTAAACATGGCTTAAGATGAACTTTGCCCCAAGAGGGAAATGCACTGCTTTATTGAGTAAAGACATCTATGCAAATGAGAGCACATGGAAACTATTTCTTCCAGGAACAGTTACTGGGAAGTAAAACCACAGTATATTACTCAAGACTGAAATAATTTTGTATTGGTTTTTGGTTTGCTTGTTTGTTTGGGTTTTTGTTTACTTGTTTTTGTTTTGTTGTTAAAAGATAAAAAATAAAAAAACAACAACAAAAAAACCCAACTAACATATATCAGTATATCAGTTCCTAAAATAATCCTCAGATTAACACAAACTGAGTAATAAATGCAAGCATACAAAAAAAGGGAAAAATATTTTCAGTGAGTGCAGCACAGTAATTTCAATGGTTATTTCTATGTCGTGGTTTCCTTATGCATAGGGAGCAACATAAAACACTAAACAGAATCCTGACTAACTTGGAAAACCATAAAAACAAAAAAAATGCAGCGAGTGAGACTGAATCCTACACAAAGAAACAATGTAAAACAAAGTACTTTTGACCTTGTAGGCCCCTATTTGTACAGAAACAATTCTTCCATTTTCTACATTGGTGTTTTCTGAAGAAGCACCTGACCCTCTAAAATACAGCTTTATTTAGAAAACTGAGGCCCTTTGGCTTACAAAATCAGACAGACAATACTAGAGCACCACTGTTTTTTGCACGTACATCTGCCTGCTAGGAACAGGTCTCCCTAAATTTCCTACTGTTCTATGCCATCCTCCAGCTCTGTGTTCAAGTCTTAAGCAATATGGTTGAACTGCTATTCAGTCTTCAGAAGCCAACAGCCATTCTGGTTACACGAAGATGTAAATGCCTCGGCTCACCTTCCTCCACTTTTATGGCACCTTTTTACATTTTTGTTAAACAGACTGTCATTACTGTAATTTTAAAGTGACTTGAGTGGTGCCTAAATGTCCAGAAAATGCAAAGAGTCCAAAGGAAAGGCCACAAAAAAATCAGAGGTTCACACAATCCAAGGTCAGGACGTTTGACAGTAGCCAGTATTAAAGCTAGAAGGATACTGCAGAAGACCGCCAAAAGGAGTCATTAGCCTTCTTTCTTATGAGGGAGAAACCCTCATCTAAATCCTTTACAGACAGAGAATATTGTCACCACCACACAACAAAGTCAGACTGATTTAGGCAGGGGCTTGAATTATCCCCATGATTTGACAGGGGAAACAAAAAAGCAACCCTGAAAGCAAATGCACATGAACTCCTAGCTTAATGTAGCAGTGTATTCAACCATGAACAACTCATTCCTCCCCCATCTCTCACTAGCTTTTAGCAGATCACTGCCTTCACTTAAGATGGCTGCTCGYTCATTCTGAGAGAGGCTGGCTACATCATTCAAATTCTAGCTGTGGATTTATAAGAATACACAGGAAAAAGAAAACAAATTCTGTAATTTACTGGGAAAGAATGACAGGATAGCTCATCTTTCTGCAGCACAATGAACTGCAATAGTTACTTACTAAGCACACAGAAAAATAACTGAAATGATCTCCACAGGTTAAGAAAGCATATCCTCCATCAGCTTTAACTGCAATGCTTTAAAAATTTCTGTGGTTTCCCAAGCCATCCTGTCTCCACATACTTTTCACCTCTAATTCTGGACAGCAGCTGGGTGAAATGTGAGCATAGATTTTTTAACTCAAAAACACAATTAATTATTTTGGGKTTTTTTTTCCTATGTGAGGAAATTTATTTTAAATACTAAGTACTCACCCCCAAGACCCCAAATCTCTCACAAAAGTTCCAACCACAGAGAAAGTCAATTTCAAAGTTGTGATTAAGGATTACGATGGCATTCTCCTTCCCGTACTTGTGGTAACTYGCTGGGTCAGTGTAAAGGGTGCAGTCGGTGCCTGACCACCATTCCAGCAACATCACCATCTCTGAAATAAAGAACAAGAAATATGTGAATGTACACAGCATACTCAAAGCCATAAATCAGTAACATGTTGAAAACTTCATTCATCTCAATGGGACRTGGCAAAGAAAGGGCTGTAATGAAGGACACGTAAGAGGGCTGTTTAAAACACAGCTACCTTTACAAGCTGGAAAGTGTTTTCTCAGCAGTATCCTAGTGACAATCACAAGCCTTTCATTTCCTATTTGCTTATCCCATTATCAAGCATAGGCTGGTATTGAAGCTTGGTATTTGTTTTGCTTGGAACTTTACGTCTCACAATACTTGTGAATCAAACCTTTATTTAGTGAAATCACTCTGGTCTGGGGCACAGGAAGTTGAGGTGAATCAGTAAAGCCAAGAAGCTCAGAAAGCTCTATCTCCATGGAGATGGAAAAGAAAATCTAACAGCAATGGCTTTCCTCAAGCAACCTGGGTCTTGAACTGGGGGTACTGTGGGACTAAATGCAAGATGTCKGTCTGAGACTGGAAAGGAGTTAAGAGACACATTTGCTTCCTGTCAAAGCTGTCATCAAAGTTCTGAACCAAAGCAAAGGTCTAGTGCAAGGAGTTATTCTTTGTTAAGTGAAACGYATCTCCCTCTCAGAGCAAAGCTGTGCCACATGAATGCCTCTGCTGGAAGGATGAGACATCCAAGATGCTCTCCTGGCTTAAGACAAGSCTGAAGGTACCAAAAATCTTCATTCACCTCAGGAAGGTCAAAACCAGGCCAGTCTTTGAAACACTTGAATTCCTCTCCATTTTTGGCCCCTACTGGTCACAACTAGCAATGGAAAACAGAGACCAGCCAGGAGCAGTCTGCATTTTCAGTCATCAGGAGTAAAATTACCTGCCTGAAGCCCTTGGATGACATTGTGCTGTACCACTGGAGAACAGGCATTAATGAYGTGAATAAATTCTATCTAACATCGTTACAGCCAGGCTAATAGACAATCTCTGTTCATGTAACATTACCTTAAAATGATAAAAGTGTGTTTATGACACAGATAAATGACTGACTTATCAGTCCACCTGCTTATTTCTAATCAGGGAAGGTGACTACTACTGCAGCAGGAGTACCTATTACTCAATGCATGCTATTATGAATTAAAATACCCTGAGAGGTGGAGGGAGACCTAAACTGCCATATGCTAACCAGAATGGCAGATTTCACAGATCGGAAACTAAAAGTTTTTCAGTGAAAGCCAAAGATGTTCACATCTCAGCAAGGCAGCTGAGAAGATACAGAAGGATAAACCTTGAAGACTTCTCCTGCAAAGAACTGCCATGCGAAACACACTCATTTTACATCKTTCTAAGGGTGTGGCTTTCTATAAGGTTTGTACTGAAAATAAAAGCCCTCCACTCCCCCAAACACAGCAAATTTTAATAATAGCTGGGGGAAAAAACTGCATCCCACATTCTAAGTTGCTAACTTACAGAATCTACTGTTATATCCTAGGGCAGAACAYAATCACAGAAAAGAAAGGAAATTASTGACTGGATYACATATTTTGTTTAACTAGGAATCCAGCTAAGAGAAAAAAAACTTTCACATTATTTTCCCTCTTTTTAACACATATTGCCATTAAATCTAGTGACTAAAAAAAAATAGGAAAAAAAAGGCGGAGATGATGATGACAATGGTAAAGCTCTCTTAACAAAAAAGCCAACTTTACAYRAGRAAGGTCATCCAACTTTATGTGTGGATTTTATATTTATTTTGTCTTTTCCTAAGSAATTTGAACAAAACTAGTAACATAGAATGAATTACGGGTGTGCCACATACACAGAGCTCTCCAGTTTAATATATTCAGTTTCAATGTATTCTAATAAAGCACAGGCAAAAACATTTCTAGATGTGCTTTGATCTTCCAGGCTTCATGTAAGCAGGATTTTTGTTTGAACAAAGACTGCAAAAATAGGTCCCTATTCCTCACCTCACTTRCCATTTGTCACTGAYGTGCTCAGGCAGTTGCTGCAGAAGCACAAAGCAGGCASTGAACACTACTGTATTTAAATAAGGTAAATACCATCTGCCAGCCGCWGAGTTCTTAACATGTTTCTTTCCCTYATCTTCACTACTCTTTCTTTCCCTCACCTTCCCTACTTTTCCTTTCCCCTTCTTCCTAGCCTCCTTTCTCCTTGTGGATCTTAAGATTAGTAGTGTCAGTTTGTGCTACTCTTGCATCCCATCACCAGCTTACTTCCACAACCTTCCCCAGAAATTTATTACCCAGCAACTTGCTGTGGTGGCTCAGCCACACAAGGTCACTCGTTCACACCCTCCTTGCCTCCTTCACGGTACAGAGATGATCAGAGGAATTTCCTCCTTTATACACCAGCTGTACTGTATAAACAGAAATCAGTTGCATAGTGGGAAGAAAAAAAGATTATTTGGTTCCCAGCCAGGGCTGAGGTAGGATTTCTAAGGCTTCTCCATACCCCCTTGGAWTCTGGTTTTCGAGTTTCAACATCACAACCGAGCTGACAAATACATATTCAACCACATCATGAGGGTTTCTACCTTTCAAAGCAATTCCTTCAGTGACACTTTCAAACAGTTAAGGCAAAGGAAGGAGAAAACACAAAGGAACTGGAAATCTCCACTCCCTGCTTTGAAGGCAGAGTCCTTGCAGTGCATAACAACTAACTTCAGAAGAAGCTGATGGCAGGGAGGAATTCATGACTTCAAATACCTAATATGGATACTCTGTGTGCTGAGGAATTTTAAGGTTTTTCACCTTTCTGAAATAAAAAAAGCCCACTCATCCTGCTTCAAAGAATACCTGTACCTGTGAGAGCAGATAGTTTCCTAGCCCTTCACTGCACAAATATGAGCTGCTTCAATGCCTGCACTTCTAAAATAATTGACTAGAAAAAAAGCATCTCCAAGGCAGACCTGAACTATAAGTCATTATATGAAAAATGACATTCAAAGGAAGAAGGGAAAGACACAGAGTATTGAGACTTCCACCACAAAGTTTTGCAAGAATGGGTCATTGACACAGTTAACACTCTTCTTCTGTAGGTGTTGGTAATTCCTTTAGCTAACTATTCCTGCTAAGGACCAGATGACCTACTGCGGTTCCTTTCAACCCTACCCGTTCTGTGATTATGTGATAAACCATGGAAACATTTGCTTGCAACATTAACTATAAATTACCCATTTCAAAATGCCATTAAAAGCATAGTTCTGTACTGACTCAGGAAGCGCAATAATTTGAAGATCTCAAGTAAGCATGTAACCTTATTTAAAGAGCTACAGAACTGTTTTCCTCCATGACATTYTTAATTTCCTTTAATCTCTTCATTTTCTTTAATCTGTGTATCAAGACAATGTCAAGAAAAAGAACTCATAAAATTCTTATGGGAATATATGGTAAAAGCAGAGCAAACTCTACAATACAAACAAAAGCAAGACAAGTGGGACCATTGCTCTGTGACCACCATTTCAAAGAGCAGAGAGGGTGAATGGCTGCATGATAAATGACTGCATTACACAAAAGACTGAGGAAAGCATTTTAAAAAATGCAAAAATAAGGCTAAAGACAGATTGACAGATAGCACAGTCTACAGTCTATGCCTTTCTGTGGAACAATGACTTGCAATAACTTAYTGCCTTTCCAGATTTTCAGAATACTCCTATTAGATGCACTTCCTAAGCATTTTTCATAGAATGAAGTCTACAGGTAACTAAGAAAAGCAAGTCTACATCTTCCCTAGACTACTCAAATGCCCTCKGTGTATCACAGACAGGGTTAAACCCCTGAATGATGCCTACTACATTAACTGCAAAGCTGCTAAGAGGTTTTCAAAATACTTCCAAGTATTCCTTACACAGGCTATTCTAGTGTTTCACTCTGCCATCTAACCCGACCAGGTAGTTATTTCTGGTCTCTACTTCCTTCTTCTCCACAGGAGCTACAAGTAATTATGAGGAAATCTTGAAGGTAGGAATTCTGCTGTAAGCTTACATTGACTAGGTACATGAAACTGAAACATCACTACATGTCTACAGAAAAAAAAATTCAATTACTTATTATAATTAACAAGCACATACATATTTCCTATGAGGGGGGAATAAAAACTAATTCTTGGGAAAAAAAMCCCTGCAGCTGGAAGGTCAATCAATGCCTTTCCCCAAGGTAGTGGAGGGTCATTCAGGGAGCTGAACCAGACAAGGCATCAGTTCTCCAACTTCAAAACAGATTCTCTTTCATTCTTTATATGAGCAACGCACGCAGGTGTTGCACCAATGAGGTATACTGGAGTTACCTGGTTCACACCAAGACAGAGGTCCTGGTCTTGCACCTGCAGGAAAATGCTTAGGATGACTGGTTTTCTGTGATTCTGTGGTTTTCTGTGATTTTGTRGGTTTGAACAGAAGAGCAAACCAAAATCCAGCCCCCTCTTTCCTTAGTGCCACCACCAACCCCCATTCCATACCCCCACCATTTACTGGGCTGGTGGTAAAACCACTGGTATCTTTGGGCTTGTTTTCTCCTCCCTGATAGCTGTCTTGCAGCAAAAGTACTGGCTGAGGGCAAGAAAGGATTATGGAGAACCATGCACACAAATGTAAAAAGAAAAACATATAGGCAAAACCCTTCTCTCTCACCTTCAGGTCTGGCTTTACAGATTTTGCCCTAGTCCCCACGGAAGATCCTGCAAGCAACTCCCTTGAATAACGCTTCAACTAATTACATGGTTATGCTTTTAAGGACAGAAATCACCAACAGAGAGGAAGGAAGAAATGCTGACTTAACTCCCGACTCATCACAGTAAGTTACTGGATGTGCTTGCAAGCAGAAAGATAAGCATGGCACAGCCCTTTCATACATTCAGGTTCTAAGTCACATTCATTTCAGCATTTGCTTGCAGGAAATTATTTTAATGTAACTTTCTTCAACAATCTTATATTCCAACACAGGCAATGTGCTGCTTTCGCCACAAATGACTAAGGACAGTATAACATGTGCTGAT